TTCCTTAATGTGCCTCACGTGAGCTGTGAGGTAAGGCTGAGCGGTGGGTGTGGGTGGGGGGGGGGGGGGGGGGCGGGTGAGCGGGGGGTCAGTAGGTATTTATAACCCGGCAGACAGCTTCCCAGCAGTTCAGGAGCTGCTCAGGCGTGAGCGAGGCTGAGGTTTAACCCAGAGACGAACGGAAGCCAACGCACTCATGTGTGACTTTGCGTCAGAGCTTGTGCCAAAGTCTGTGCTAAGAAGGATGTTAACCCCCACCACTGTCTCTCTGTCTCTATCTCTATCCACCCCCCACCTCCACACACCCTCTGCCCTCCGGGGTTTCTGCCAGCTCAGCATTCCGGGGCAGGTGACAGAGACGAGGCTGTTTACTAATCATATTAATAATAATACTAATAATACTAATAATAAGCCTCGCATTTGATACAGCGCCTGATCACGTCTTCGAGACGTCTCAAAGCGCTTCACAGGATACACTGTAAAGTGTTTCGCGGGTGAAACGCAGCAGCCAATTGTCCCACAATCAGTGGTGGATTGAGTGACCAATTTATTATTATTTATTTTATACTTTTGGAGGGATTATTATCCCCGGAAAAGCGATCCACCGATCGCCTGACAATCGGGGTCCGACTCACTCACTCACTCACTGCTCGTAAACAGAGGAGTGTGTGTGTGTGTGTGTGTGTGTGGAGTAAGGAAACTTGCCCAACATTTTGCCGTGTCCGGGAATCAAACCCGGGTCCTCTCGCTTGCCACTGGATTCCACAGAGGAGGGAGGGAGGGAGGGAGGGAAGGTAGGAGAGGAGTGAGGGTGTGGGTGGGTGGTGGGGGGGGAGAGAACACAGAGGGAGAGTTTTGCAGCCACATATATGAATAACATTGAATCTGTCTCGGGGAGTTTGACAGGAATCCAATTTCACGGTTCAGGGGACGGAGTGTAAAGAAACCTCTTAGACTTTTGTCTTCACGGTTTACGACATGAAACGAAACTTCAGAAAAGAGGGGAAAAGGGAATTAATAATTTCTGGAGTGTGTAACTTTCACTGAGAGACACACATCTCGAAATGCGTCTAACAAGGCATTCGCTAAGAACACCCCAACCCCCACCCCACCAACTCCAACCCCCTCTCCCCATCGTCTCCAACCATCCTCCCCCCACCCCCCCCCGACCCCGCCCCGGTTAAGAATTAAAGAATAATAAAAATAAATAATAATTCGGTCCCTCAATCCACTGTTTGTGGGGACGCTGCTGTGTGCAATTGGCTGCTGGGTTTCGCCCCCAAAATATACAGTCACTGCACTTCACACTTTGAGACGTCTCGAAGACGTTGATAAGGCACTGCATCAAATGCCAGGATTATTATTATTAAGAATTATAGATTTCGCTCTTAAGATTAACACATGGCGCAAATTAGGAGCCTGGGAGCCCGATCCAGGAATCACTCCAACTTCTATCCCAATTATCTCGCACTCAAGTGGGCAACTCAAGAGTCAAATGGTCACAGATGTCATCTCCAGCTCAGTGCCTCTCAGACGGAAATCAGACATCCCGCTTTTGTTTTGATGGGTTTCTCTCTCTTTAACGGTTCAATGGGTTGAGTTAGCAACTCCAGTCTACACACTCCTGATTTCCCCACTCTCCTCCCCCCCGCCCCCCCCCCCCCCCCCCCCACCGTCCTCCCGCCCGCACGCAGCCTAGCGTTACTGAGCAAAATGGGGCTTAGGCAGATTTCAGCAAAGTCCGGCCTTTTCGAATGAAACGTTAAAAGCCGAGCTCACTGTCTGCCTGTCCTCAAACAACATTAAACATTTCCCACGATAAAGAGAAGGGACTCCCCCCTTCCCCCACCCACCCACCCACCCCCCTCTCTCTCTCTCATGTCCTGACAACAACCCTCCCCCTCAGATAAAATTTGTCGCTCACTTCCCAGCTGTTCGTGGACACATCGCTGTGTGCAAATTGGGTGCCACTCTCGCCCACAAAATTGACAGTCACTACACTTTGCAGTGAATCGCATTGACATGTGTTTCCCCCCCCCCACCCACCCCCGACGTAAAAGGTGCCGTGTCAGATGTGTTGCTCTAGTTATTATTAATAATCATGTAAGGGACAGGGTATTGCACAGACATGGGTCGCTTTATTATAAAAATAAATAATTCTGGGATTTGCCAGGAATTCTAATATCCCTTTAAAAATGTTTAAGTTTTCCATCTCCCCTGCCACCCCCCCCCCCCCACCAGTCTCCCCCACACCCCATCACCACACTGTCCGGCCGATGCTCACGAAGTAGTTTTAAGATTTCCAAATACATTTCCTTTAATAAATTACTCTCAACTGCTCAGTAACAGGAGGAAAAACAGTGCTTTGCTTGGGATGGTGTGGGGTTGGGGGGGGGGGGGGGGGAACGAGAGGGGGGGGGGAAACTGAGGTAAGTGGGGGGGTGAGAAATGAGGAGTGGGGGCCCACAATCTCTTTGTCAGTGTGAGTCGAGGCTTCAGAACTTCCTACGGACTTTGAAATGAAACATGTTCGAAAAATAAGAGTGTGTGTGTGTGTGTATGGGGGGGGGGGGGTGGGAGGGGGATTTTCTTTGGCTGAAAGCAACACAAGTCCTTATGGAGAGAGAGGGGGGGGGGGGGCTTGGTATAAGATCAATCAAGCATTTCTGACCTGATGAGTTGACAGGTCCTTTTGTCTGAAGTACAATAATGTGTGGTCTATAGAATAAAGCTCTCATAAGGCTCCTTTTCTGGATTGCTAAGCACTCACCTGAGAGTTGCCTTTCACAATAGAGCCCAGTTATATTCAACGAGAGGACAACAAAAAAATAGCGAGTAGAGGGAGGGAGGGAGGGAGAGAAAGGCTTATTAATTGTACAGATTAAAGGGACGTTTCCCAAAGACTCTTAAAAAGCTTGGCTTAAGCTTTTCCTGTTCTCTCCTCCTTTACCACACTCCCCCAGGCAGGTCCACTCTCTCTCTCTCGCTCTCGTTCAACGTTGTATGGGAATCCATCAAATCCCCCTCCCACCCCCCTCCCCCCCCACCCCACACACACACACACACACACACGCCTCCCGCTGACTGACATACCTTTACAATTATTGCACAGTTTGCCCGGTTATAAATGGAAAGAGAGAGAGGGCGGTGGGGGGTGGAGGGGGGAGAGAGGAGAGAGAGAGAGAGAGGGGGGGTTGGTGGGGGGAGAGGAGAGAAAGAGAGGATGGGGTGGGGGGGGGTGCAGGAGAGAGGGAGGGAGAGAGAGAGAGGAGGGGGCGAAACGGCTTCTAAGACATCTTTTCAAGTTGACTGCATTGGTGGCTAATGACTGTGACTCTGGCACCTTTGATCTGCCCTCTGTTCGCCCACATGTTGGCCACACAGAGGTACCTTTCCGTTTCACAAGCCTTTTCTCACCCGGACCCTGCAATGCTGATCTGTCACAGTTAAATGTGGATAAAAGCCTCTCTCCGTGTCTCCCTCCCCTCCCCGTCTTGGGTTTTTCCCGGGGTGGGAGTGGATGGTCGGGCGAGCAAGCGAGCCGGGCGGGTTGGGTGGGGAGGGGTGGGTGGGGGTTGGTGGGAGGGGGAAGGGGGTCAAGGAGCGGAAAAGAGACCTGAAAATCCCCTCGTTCGTGACCCTTTCTTGACAAGAAAAATAATAAATAATAATTTGGTGACTCCATCACTCACTCCATCCACGACTGTTTGTGGGACGTCGCTGGGCGCAATTGGCTGCCTTGGTTTCGCCCACGAACACGCAGTCACTCCACTTTACAGTATATATTTCTGTGAAGCGCTTTGAGACGTCTCAACGACCTGATGAAGGGCTGCATCAAATGCCAGGATTATTATTATTATTATTATCACTGAAATTTGGCGAATCGTTGACTTCAAAACTAATAATAGTTGTCGCATTATCACGTCGTCGTTCCTACTTACTGTCCGGGTAAACAGAGGTGTGTGTGTGTGTCTCACTGTGTGTGTGTGTGTGTGTGTGTGTGTGGCATAAGGAAAATTGCCTAAGGTTTCACTCTGACCTGACCCGCCCGGGAATCGAACCCGGGTCCTCTGGCTTGTGGAGGCGAGGGCTCTAACCACTACACTCCGGGGACACTACAAATTCTTGCAAGTGCCCAAAATTCTCCATATATAAAGAAAGAGGAGTAAATAACCGAGTAAATACAGTGGAGGCAGGAATTTCTCCCCCGAAAGATTACAGATGGAGCAAGACTCAACTCGCAGCGGGAAGCAGCCTGTGTAAAGGCGCTATTCACACCTCACCACACAGTGACTCTGGGACGCTGTATAATGGCGATGGCGTGTCCTCACCTCCTCCAGGTGACAGCCCTCTGGCTTGTTTTCATGTGGGTTTCTCATTCGTATAATAAAAAAAAATCCCTCTTATCATTTTTTCCATGCACAATGCGAGTGATTCCCACCGGGGAATGCTTTTAAGTGCAAAACAGCCTGAAGTCTTGAGAACTCAAACCTCAAATCCCCCCTCCCCTGCCCACTCCACACCCAAACACTGGAGTCCTGTAGCTCAGCGGTTACAGCGCTCGCCTGGCAAGCCAGAGGACCCGGGTTCGATTCCCGGGTGGGTCAGGTCAGAGCGAAACCTTAGGCAAGTTTCCTTACTCCACACACACACACACTATACACACGCGCCTCTGTTTACCAGCAGTGAGTAGGAACCTGGTTGTTAATCGATTGGTGGATTGCTTTCCGAGTGGTAACAATTCCTTCACAAAAATAATTTAGTCACTTCAATCCACGGCTATTTGCGGGGGACGCTGCTGTGCGCAATTGGTTGCCGTGATTCGCCCACAAACTATACAGTCGATTCACTTTACAGTGTATCCCGTGAAGCGCTTTGAGACGTCTCGAAGACGTGATGAGGCGCTGTATCAGATGCGAGGATTCTTACATTATTAATATTTAATAAATCCAGACTGGCTGAGTTAACAGGTGGGGATGTTTGTGGCTGTTGTTTTTCAGGTATCATGGAGATCCGCTCAGTCAGTGTGGGAGTCGTTGCGATCAAAGCCGTTCACACCGGCTTCTATTTGGCGATGAACAAGAAAGGGAAACTCTACGGCACTGTAAGTCTCCTTATTAATAACAATATTATTAATAATAACAATAATAGAATAATCCTTGCTGTTGATATAACAACAACTTGCATTTGTATAAGTGGGGAAGCTTCCCAGAGAGAGTAACCCATGTGATAGCACCTCACTACGCCATTTAAGTGCTCCGAGATGCTGCCCCGCGAAAAGGGAGCTATACAAGTGCAAGTTGTTGTTGTTATAGTGGGGATGTCTCAATCCACGACTGTTTGTGGGGACGCTGCTGTGCGCAATCAGCTGCCGCGTTTCACCCACAGAATATACAGTCACTACACTTTAAGGTGAAGCCCTTTGAGACGTCTCGAAGACGAGATCAGGCGCTGCATCAGATGCCGGGATTACTATCATCAACAATATAAGAATTTGGGAGATGGGGATAAGGATGGTGGCAAAGTGAGGAGGGGAGACAGCAGGGGGTTTAGACGTTGCCATGACTGGTTAGGATCCAGTCTCTCTCTGAGCCGAGGAGAGGAAACACAACTCCGCAGTCACTGTCTGGGCTGTTATTTGGCTTAAATAATATACCTGACTTTCGTGGGTTTATTTTCTTTGGCTCAGCTACAGGACAATGGGATCTGCCTCTCAGTGATCACATCATTTATTTACCGAGTTTCCGACCGGCGTTTACAATGAGGCTTTCTTTTCCGAGCTCCACACTCGGCCCCCCAGGTCTAACCTGGATGTTGACACCGACAACCACACCAGCCAATTCCACCCAATAACCCGCAACAGCATGAAATATACAGGGCCAGCCATCACTCCCCCAACCCCACACGCTCCAGTCTGTCACTTACAGAGAGTTTACACCCAGCGCGGTTCCACTCAGCAGGCTCTGGCGTCCCCCCCCCACCCACCATCACTCCACCATCGGTGGTCCTGCCTTCAGCCTCTCTGCCCACCCCCACCAACCCTCCATCCCACTGTCCCTCCGCCTCTCTCCCTCCCTCCCTTCCTTCAAGACGCTCCTCTTCGACCAACTGCGCCTTCGGTCATCCTTCTACCCCCACCCTCACCGCCCTCCGCCCCCTCCTGATCCCAACCCCCAGCTCGGGTCCAAACCCCTGACTGTGCAGGACTTTGGGATGTGAAGGTAAATGTAATGTGGTGGTGGTGTTGTTTCCCTCGGCAGCTCTGGCAGTTGGGATGGTTGGGGAAAGGGAAACCACACCAGTTTAATGCATTTACAGCTGCGACATTAAAACAAAATCACAGCCATAATCCTCGCCTGTGACACAATGCCCGGAACGTGTAAACAACATGCTTACACCGTGTCTGTCACGTCGGGAGGACGTGCCAAGGCGCTGGATAGTCAGGGGTTTGGACCTGAGCTGGAGGTTGGATCAGGAGGGGCCGGAGGGCGGGGAGGGTGGGGGTAGGAGGGTGACCGAAGGCACAGTTGGTTGAAGAGGAGGATCTTGAGACGTGCCTTGAAGGAGGCATTTCATTGGGGATGGTTTCCCTCCCCCCCCCCCTCAACCCCCACACAACTGCTCGGATGTCCCTGTGTTTGATGGCAGCTGTTGTTGGAGACGATGCCCTTTTGGAATCTGTAAAGCTGAGGCTGATAGTGTTGCGATGTGATTCCTGATCCCTCTAATCCCAGTTTTACAGCAATGCCCAGCCCACACCTCACCCCACAGCTCTGTCCCTGCACTTTGCTCAGGTGACGGAGTCAGCGACTCGATTGATTGGCGCGAGCTTCCAAGATCATTATCGGTGACTTGCCCAGCCCGGGGGAAGGAGTGGTGGGTGGTGGTGGTGGGAGGGGGGGGGGGGGTGTGTGGGGGGGGTGTGTGGCCAGCACAGCCCATACACAGCGAGAGGAGGGGGCTTCTCACTCTCACGCGAGAGGATTTATTTGCCAGTGGTTGGCAGTGGGCACTGGGTTGAGATGACATAAAAGATACCAATAAGAAATGAGTCTTGAATGAGGTGAGGTGAATGGGGGCAATTGTTGGGGAGGAATGGAGACTACAATTAAGTGACCTGGCCCCGGGGTGGGGGGGGGGGTGATAAATATCAATTGCAATTTTCAGTTGATACACCCCCCCCCACCCTCCTCCCCACCACCACTCTCCACCCACAGACTCCATGCAGCCCTTCCCAGGTGCCCCAGATATCACAAGAGATAGAAGATTGGACAGAGAGAGAGAGGGGGATAGGGGGGTCAGAGAAGGAGGGGAGAGAGAGAGAGAGAGAGAGAAGAGGGGGAACCATCCAGGTAACTAACCATAGACAGTGAACCTGGGCTCCTGAAGGTAGGGCGCCCCCTGCTGGGCAAACATCAAGCTGCACCATCAATTGTCTCTCAGTTCTGGTGGGAGCACCTTGGGGTGGGGGCAGTGGGGGGGGGTGTTAGCTGGGGTGGGGGGGGGGTAGCTGGGTGTCTGATACGGCGAAACCCACAAACTCGTGGGTCCAAAAATAAAAGGATACACTGTAAAGTGCGGTGACTGTAGATTTCGTGGGCGAAACAAAGCAGAGAACTGCCCACAGCAGCGACCCACAAGCAGTCGTGGATCGAGTGGCCAAATTTTTATTTTCTGAAGGGATCATTACCTCCGGAAACCGATCCCCCAATCAATCGACTAACAAGCGGATTCCTACTTACCGCTCGGTAAATAGAGGCGCGCGTCTGTGTGTCTGCGTGTGTGTGTCTGTGTCTGTGGGTGTGTGTCTGTGTGTGGCGTAAGGAAACTTGCCTAAGGTTTGGCCCTGACCTGACCTGCCCGGGAATCGAACCCGGGTCCTCTCGCTCGCTTGCCAGGCGAGGGGTCTAACCCCTGAGCTACGGGGACACCACAAACTGATGGGGAGATGAGCTCTCACTGTGTGTGTCTATCTCTCCACAGGAGGAATACAACCACAACTGTAAGTTCAAGGAGAGGATCGAGGAGAACGGCTACAACACCTATGCTTCGCTCAAGTGGAAGCACAAAGGCCGTCAGATGTTCGTGTCGCTGAACGGGAAGGGGACACCGCGTCGGGGGCACAAGACCAGGAGAAAACATCTGTCGGCGCATTTCCTGCCCATGATGGTCCCATAGACACTGCTGTGCTGCGAGAACCCGGCCCCCAGGCTGCACCCCCCACCCCCACACACTCCTCCCACATACACACACACCTCGGACAAAGAGAGAATCTGAGAATATGCACGTTCCTCGCCCCCCCACCTCAGCCCTCTCCCCCTTAACCCCTACACACTTCCCCCCCACCGCCCCCCGCGTGATGTGAGGTGGAAAGAGAGACATCGCTCTCCTCCTGGACTATTTTCCCTGGTGTCGGCTTCATGTGGCTTTGTCAAAGCCGGACGGACACATTTTCAAGGACTCTGTCTGTGTGTGTGTGTGGGGGGGGTCTGTGTATTTGTGTGTATGTGGATCTGTGTGTGTGTGTGGGGGGTCTGTGGGAAAGACAGAGCCAGAGAGAGGTGCAAAGCTAACCTGGTGTATATGTTATTTGTCCCCCATTTCCCTATGTTCCTGCCTCCTCCAACCCCACCCACCCCCCCCCCACCCCCACCTACCCACCCCCATTAAAATGAACGGGGCTCAGTCCTGGGAGGTGAAATAATGGGGCAATAATGGAGGGGAAGGGAACGGAACAAAGACTCGAGAGAAACGGAAGAGAAGTGGGAAAAGGGGGGAAAGTGAGAATGTTTTTTGCAGAGGGGGAGAGGGAGGGGATGAGGGGACTGATAGGGATGGGGGGGGGTAGAGAGAGAGAGAAAGAGATGGTGTATGGCTCTCGCAGGAACATTGACACTTGCAGTGAGAGACAAGCGAAGGGAGGGGGGAAATGAGGTGAAATCTCAAGACCAAAGTTCTGAACTGAGAGGGTGGGGGTGAGGCGGGGGGGGGGCGGGGTAGGGGTGGGGGGTTGCGGCAGGCAGGTGGTGGTGGGGGGGGGGTGGCGTGGGGAGGGAGAACAAGGCTCTTAAAGGGAGAAAGACTGTATTTGCAATTTGCACCAGTTTCGAAGAGAGCTTCTAACGTACAGGACGGAATCTCACAGGAATTTATTCCAACTCCCGCCATGTCTGAGACGTGCACTAATCAGCTGGCTCTCCGGGGGGTGGGGGGGGGGTCCACTCTCCAGGGGGGGAAACCCCAATCCCCATTCACTCTCCTGGTTAATGTGCTGGGGCTTGAGGTGGGGGGGGGGGGGGGGGTTGTGTCAGGCTTTGACGCATTGTGTTGTAAAAAAAAATGGTCATATTTATGCAATTATAAATGACGCTGTTTATTCCTAGGTCTTAACTTAACCCCCACTTCCACCCCCCACCCCACCCCCCCACCCCCCGTTCCTCCCCTTCCCCCCAAAGGAAAAACCTGCAATCAAACATAACGTTGTGTGTGAATGCTTTGGAACACTGTTTTTGGGGGGGGGGGGTGTGGGGGAAACTTTCTCCTGAACTCCCCCTGATCCTCTCTCTCCCTCCACCCCCACCCCCCGAACCTTGTGAAAAGCCCCCACTTCCCTGTAAACAATAATAACTCAATAAAGTTTCGTTCTTTCCTAGAAAGTAAATCTCACGAGTGGCCACACAGCCCCAGAGTAAAGTCACTGAAGTTTACAGTAAAATCCTGTGAAGCGCTCGGAGGGACACATACACACACATACGCATATACACACACTTGCACATACCCCTTCACAGATACAAACACAGACGTGCACACATATACACACCGATTGACACACACACGCATGGACAAAGACATAAAGACACACACACACAGACAGACAGACAAGTCAGACAGACACCCACACACAGACAGACAAGACAAACAGACTCACAGCCAGACACACACACACACACACACACAGACACACAGACAGACAGACAGACAGACAGACAGACATTTGCATGTGTCACAGTGATGGTTTGACAGAGTTACTGAAGGCAAAAAGGAATGGGATTAACGGCATCTTTTGGAAACGAGTTGTGAAATCTCAAATAAGAAACGAGATGTGCAGGAAATACCATCTCACAATGTTGCGTGGGTTTATCTGACCACCCCCCACCCCACCCACCCCCTTTATCTCTTCCCCACCCCCAACCAGCCACCATCTAGATGGTGACTGTCTCGCTGTGTTTTTTGGTGCTAGTTTAACGAGAGAGACATATGCCATCCTCAAGACAAGAAAAAAACCTGCTTCCAGGCGGTGGGTTGGAAGCAGATGAAAGACAACGCTTTTGATCTCTGCAGTTTAACAAACCCCCCCCCCCAACTCCCCTCGCTCCCCCCCTCCCCGCCCCAATCTCAGTCCAGCAACCGAACACATAAACCAGCGATTGCTGGGGTCAGACCAGAGTAAACCACATTCCCTCTGTCACACAGAGCCAAAACCCACCACCTTGTCAGTCACTTGCACAAGTCGTGTCCCAACCTCTATCCTGTTCCCTGAGGCGCAGGACCTCTGGCTGGTGAGGCGAATGCTCTAAACACTAAAGCTACAGGACTCCACGAGTGGACAACAAACCTTTACGAACCATTCGACGACGACAACTACAACAACTTGCCTTTATTTTGCGTTCCTTCACGTCGGGAGGACGTCCCCAGGGCGCTGAAATGGTTAATTGGATGGTTAATTACAAGGCGGGAACATCGCTTCCGCCCCTCACCCCACCCCCAATTAATGACAGTCGCTGATTTTCGTGGTTGGTTCTGATTCCCACCCCCACCGCCCCCACTCCCCTAAATGTCACAATCCTTGATAGAAGGAGCTCTGAAGGGAGGGTCGGGGGGGAGGGGGTGGTGGTGGGTGGGTGGGTGAGGGGGGGGCAAAGTGGCTTCAGACCTAAAGAGGCTGGAGAGAGTGACAAGACATTCACCAATTTAATTCCCTTCCCATCGTTTGCACAAAACGCCAGCCTGAAAATCCCCCTTTAATAGTCTGCAGTGGTTCCTGCTTCTGAAAGCACCAGGTCCTCAGGATTAGGCATGTTTTTGTCTGTATATAAAACTTTCTATGGTACTTTGTGAACAAATCTTTAAGGCTCATGAGAATAAAATGCCCCCCCCACCCTCACAGCCGCCCCCTCCTCCCCCCACCCGCCCACCCCCACAGCCCTCCCCACCACCGCACACAAACGTACAGCGAAAAAGAGACGGAGACACACAGAGGGAGACTGAGAGGCACAGTGAAAGAAAGAGAGACCGAGCGAAAGAGACAGAGCAAGAGAGAGACACAGACAGACAAACAGACAGAGAGAGAAAGAGACAGAGGGAAGCTGAGAGGGCAAATCAGAGAGACAGAGACAGAGAGCGAGAGACAGAGAGTGACAAAGAGAAATATAGCGAGCGAGTGTGAAGGGCCTGAGCTTGTGTTCAGCTCCCGATCACTGAAATCTCCTTTCAACTCCAATGTTTTGATTGTGGTCAATCAATCTCCCATTCACTGGGACAAAGGTAGCATTGGTTACCTGCCCGGCACAGACAGTCAGCCTGCATGGCACACCGTGCCCCCCCCAACCCCCCACCCCTCACTCTCCCCTCTCCCCCTGATCATCACGCTAACCACCACCACCACCACAACAACAACATACCCCTGATGTGTGTGCTCAAAGCACCATCGCACGTGTGTTCAGTGCGACACACTAAACGCAGCTTGCACGGGATGATCCGCTGATATGGTACAGGCGTGGGAACTGGACACACTTACAGACACCAACACGTTTCTGGTCTTACCCACTCCCCGTTCTGTTTGGTGCCTGGGTGGGTGGGTGGGTGGGCGGGCAGGCGGGTGGGTGGGTGGGCGGGAGGGCAGGCGGGTGGGTGGGTGGGCAGGTGGGCAGGCGGGGAACGTGTCTGACACACAAGGAAACCCGTCACTGTTGCTTAAAGTGTCTCCAAAACCCGACCGAGAACTCCAGGCCTCCCGCCCACACATGGAAATCCCAGAGATAGATTGACGGAATGGAATGGAATTCTCTCTCTCTCTCCCCTTCTCCCTGGGGGTGTGGGGTTGGGGGGGGTGGGGTGGGGTGTGCACCCTGCTTAACCTAAATTCTCTCCCAATCCGATGCTCTCGACCCCATATAAGAGAAGACTCTCTGTTTTTACTCAGAGGCGAGTGCGCCACCACACTGAACCAGGCTGACATCAAGATGGCGGTGGGGAGGAGCGGGGTGGGGGGGGGGGAGAGAGAAAGAGAGAGAGCGAGCGAGAGAAAGAGAGCGAGAGAGAGAGGGGGGAAAATTCCTCGCTTGAGTGATTCAACCTGGAAAATCAAGATACCTTTAATTACAGTTGACAGATTGACTGAGTGAGGAACAAGGACACTTCAGCGGCTGATCAAGCAAATACTCCCCGTCCAAAACCTGTCAAAGAGCAAATAATCCGACCACGAACAAGTCCAGAAACCCAGAGCTTTCATATCAGTGAATCAATCTATTGTGTGTGTGTGTGTGGGGTGGGGGGGGGGGTGGGGGAGGAGGAGAGGAGTGGGGGGGGATTTCTTTTGTGTGGTTTTGTGTTTTTTTATACAAGAAACATTAATTTTTCTTTCTCAGTAAACGAGTTTGGTTACAAACATTAAAGAGAGAGAGAGAGAGGGTGGGGGGTGGGGGTCAAGGGTGGGGGGCCTTCCTGCAATCCAAATGCCCCACCATATCATATGCCAACATCATTACCCACACTCTCTCTTGTTCTGTTTTTTTCTTTTTTTTCTTTCTTTCTCCTTTATCTCTCTCCCTCCTTTGTATCTCTCCCATCTTCGTCTCCCTCCCACTTCCCCCCTCCCTCTCTCCCCTCTTTTCCTCTCTGTCTCACTCCTCTTTTCTCTTTCTCTGCTTCTCTCTCTTCCCACCCACCCACCCACCCAGTCGCTCCACCTTCCTATGTTGTGACGAAGCAATTTAGGCACAGCAATGTCCTACCCTCACACTCACACACTCACACACATATGCTCATACATACACACGCTCACACACACCCACTCACTCACACACACGCTCACACACACGCGCGCGCACACACATCAAAGTTAACAACGTTAGACACTGGAGATATTAGAAAATGTATAAACTTTTACCTTGTGTCCATCCACTCCGGAGTCTCTCTCTCTTTCTCTCTCTGTGCCCTGGGAGAGGGATGGGGGGGGAATGGAGGTGATTGGAACCGTCGTTGGCTGTCAGA